ACGGTATGACGTCGGTGGGGGTGGTGGCCGCGGAGGTGTCTGTCGACGGAAGTGCGATGGGGCGGCGTTTTGGCGTGGACGGGGAGGAGCGTTGTGGCGCAGTGCAGCGGCGTAGCTCATAGCTTCCGGCTCGGGCAGCGGTGCGTGGGGAATTTGAAGCGATTGCCGAACTTATTCTCGCACAATGTCGGCGATTGAATCCACTTGAGGCTGTGCCGAAGGCAACAGCTTGCGCAGCTCTTCCCGCACGATCGCTCGGATCGTTTCACGCAGGTCTCCGGAGTTACTGGCTTGAGCAGCAGCGCAGTCTGCAGTCAGGCGACGATTATACTGTCGGGTGCGCATGTCCAGGTCTTTTCGATAGTGGTCGCTTCGGCTACAAATTATTGGACGGTTTTCGGTGGTCTTCTCATCAGTCCCGTGAAGAGCTCCTGTTTGTCCCCTCGCATGAGCAAACGAACTTTTTTCTCCTCATGCATGCCTGGGTCAGCGTGACGAAAAAGTCGGGTCATTTCTTCTGTGAAAATGGCGACATATTCATTTGGTAGCTGAAGCCGGGTCTCTAATAAAGCAGCGGCCCTCTCTTTGCGAGCGACGCTCGCGAAAGTTTGTAGGAATGCGCCGCAGAAAACATCCCATGTTCGGAGCGTGGACTCCCGATTTTCGAGCCCAGTCTTTGCGGTGTCTTCCAAATAGAAGAACACACGACGCAGCTTTTCGTCGTGGTCCCAGTGGTTGAGGGCGGCCACACGGTCGTATGGTTCTAGCCAGGACTCCGGGTCTTCAAACGGTGACGCATGGAAAATTGGTGGTTCCCTGGGTTGATGCATGACCATCGTGGGCTGGGACGCTGCGGTTGTCATTGTCGCTGTAGTCACGGACATGGCCTTGGTCTTCCACGCCTTGTATTGTAGAAGCCCGTACTCCGATGATAGCCCTTGCTGTCGGCGGCTTGTTCGCTGCGCTTGGTTGGCGTTGGTGTCTTCTCCGCGACGTGGGCTGGGTTCACGGCTTGACGGGGGCGTCCAGTACATGAACAAAACAGCACCTCCACCAGATGTCACGGGGTTGTGACGTGGCCGAAGACAGGAGACTTCGTGTTGGGATTTAACTGTTTATTTGGGTGAACCTGTGCCCGGTAAACGGAAAGTCCAATTACAGCAGCAGTCTTGTACAGATAGCAGTCTCGGACTGATAGCGGGGAACGGAGCGTCGGCCTTCGATCAACTGACAAGTGGCGAAGCGCGTCGGCATTTATACTCTCGCCGTCGAATGTTCTAGGGGCAATGAATGTTCTAGGGGCAATGAAGTTTTCCTAAGGGTACATTATCTTCTCACTTGTGGACAATTAAAGTACAAATTATATTGAAACACTTCTTAGTGCCAAAGTCCGAATTATAGTTCAGTCGATCGCCTGCGATACAGATTTTAGGCGTTTTGTTGGAATGTCTATAATGTCCGTGCTTTCAAAAAACTATGATATAAATGAAGTATAGTGCATCTATGAACTGTTTTATAATGTTTCAGGTATAGAACAATGCCTCATCGCTTACCACTGGTATGCATTGTTGATTTATTTTAGGTGTATACGGTGGAGACGATTCAATATTTGTTTATTTATTTATTTATTTTCAATACTGTCGACTCCAATGTTGGAGTCATTACAGAGGGCACATTGCAGGTAGTATACATACATGAAGAACAAACAATAACATTCCAACTGACATACATAAGCCTCACCCTGTACCTTCTGGCCTGCTACAGTGCGCTGTGCAAAAAAGAAAAAGAAAAGAGGAAATAGCAAAGGTATGTGAAGCATGGAAGCACTACTGTAGATTACGCATGCTTTCTAACACTGCGGTGAATGTGGATAGTGTGTCAGCATTAGTAGCATTTGCATTCAGTTTATTCCATTCGCGTATTGTTAGTGGGAAAAACGATTTTCCAAAGACGTCACTGAGGAATATTCTTGCAGACTGTATTTGTGCTTATGACGAGTAGGGCGTGACTGTGAAAATGTGACGTACTTAGACACATCTACCTTGTAGTGGCCATGTAACAACTGGTACAAGAACCTCAGGCGTGCCTATTTTGCCCTAGTGGCTAGTTTTTCAATGCCAGAAGAAGCCAGAAGGTTAGTGGGAGAATCTGTACGTTTGAACTTGTGTACAAACCGTATGGCTTTGCGTTGTACTGCCTCTAATTTACTAATACCACTTAGCGTATAAGGAAACCAAACTACGTTGGCATATTCTAATACTGGTCTTACGAACATGGTATAAGCCAAGAGTTTTGCGGGCGCTGGTGCAATTCTATGTCGTCTTTTTAGGTAGAAAAGTTTACGCAGTGCGGCCGCAGTGGCGTTAGCTATGTGTGTATCCCATCTCAGGTCAGACGTTAATGTAATGTCTAAGTACTTATGCTGCACAACATTAGTCAGTGGTGAACCATGAATGGTGTAGATGAATTGCGATGGATTCTGCTTACGTGTTACAGTCATAGCTGCGGATTTTTTCACATTGATGGACATTTGCCACTTAGCGCACCAATCTGCTAGCTTGGTTAGACATTCATTGACATTAATGTGGTCTGTGTAGCTGGTTACCTCCTTATAAATAATGCAGTCATCTGCAAACAGTTTGATATTACAGTTAATGTTTGACGTGAGGTCATTTATGAAAATTAAAAATAATAGTGGTCCCAAGACGGAACCTTGAGGGACCCCAGAAGTTACGGGGACTATGTTTGATATATGACCTTCATACTGCACGAACTGTGAGCGATTTGTAAGGAAATTTTCTATCCAAGAAAACAATAACCCCTCTCCTATCGCACTTTTCAGTTTAATTAGTAACTTTCTGTGACATACGCAATCGAAAGCCTTAGAGAAATCAAGTAAAATTATGTCTGTTTGGCCACGATTATTTATGGTAGAAGCTAGATCATGAACTACCTCCGTTAGCTGCGTAACAGTGGACAGGCCACTACGAAATCCGTGTTGACTAGGAGACAAAAATTTTATTTTCTCGAGAAAAACAGTTATGTGTTTGAGAATGATATGCTCTAGTAGCTTACATGAAATGCTCGTGAGGGATATCGGCCGGTAATTTGAAACCAATGACTGTTCTCATTTATGAATAGGTATTATTTTTGCAATCTTCCAGTCATCTGGCAGCTGGGATGAAGTAAGCGACTTTCGAAAGATTAACCCAAGAAACTTACGACACCATTCCGCGTACCTCTTGAGGAACTCGTTAGGAATATCATCTGGACCACTCGATTTTTTAGGATCTAAATTAAGAAGCAAGTTCAGTATTCCTGTATCTGTGACTTCTAGGTGATCGATGCTTGGCGAATCGAGGGATAATACTGGAGGAGTGGCACCATTATCAGTCGTGAACACTGATTGGAAAAAAATGTATTTGTTAGCCTTTTCCGTTCTTTCCCCTGAATCCGTGTGCGACCGTGTATTATTGCTAGCGCGAAGGTATCTCCAAAATTTGCTTGGATTGCTTTTAATAAAGCTTGGAAGTGTAACACTAAAATAATATTGTCTGGCAGTTTTCTTTTTTTGCTTAAACTCTGATTTTGCACACTGCAGCTTCTGTTAAATGGATGATTTACACTTATGGTTTTTCGCAGCCACACGCAACCTTTTTATCCTACGCTAGGCCTGGATAACCTCACGTGTTATCCAAGGATTATTCCCTGGAGCTTTCTTGTGTTTCTTTGGTATGAAGTTAGTGACACAGTACATAACAGTAGATTTGAAACTTAGCCACCATTGCTTCGGATCGCCTAAACTTCACATTCACGTTTCCTAAATGGTCCTAGGTTGCTGAAAACGTTTAAAATATGCAAACATTAAAAGATGGGCATTCGGAAAAACATTTTTAGCCCCTTCGGACTATAATAAAATAAGGAAGTGGAAATGTTAGAATCCCTGCAGAAATGGTGCCTAAAGTATCTTTTATGGTCACGATATCGAATCATGAATAACGTGTCGGATACATCATTTCATCATGCATACTTGTGGTAAACTATCACGCTATAGAGAGACTCTGAAAAGATATACGCACACACATTATATATATATATATATATATATATATATATATATATATCCCAAAATCTAAGACACTCATAATGACCTTGACTTCGTGTGCAGTAACATAATTGCAATACTTTCTATATATATGCTTATGATCCTAGTTTTACTATTCCTCTTTTTTGTACTGTAATTATTAAGATGAACAAGCTAAATGATGCACTAGCATAAGTGACAATCAATATTAAGTGCACTTTTGTATGATCAAACAGCAATGCTATAACTTTTCTTGCGGCACAATTGTTCTAGAAGTTGTAAACAGTCCAACTGCCTTGTAGAGGGCGTTCTGACCTACTCATGCTGTTCATAAAATGTTTTAATTAGTGAACCTATCCACCATAATTTTTCAGTAAGGTAAATATATGAATTCAATAAATGAAAGGTTCAGAGCTTTCTGTTAATACACCACAGGCATATCTGGCACAAGTGCCCATGGGAGCTGCGACGCATGGCGACTAAACTCGCTTGTGACTCATGTGTAGCACACAGGCTGGTCTTAGCTTTATTCTTTGCGTTCAGTGTGGGCTGAAGCCACTTTTTGCAAGAGCATGTTCAGCAAACTTTGGGTTGTTTTCACTTTGGAACGCTGACATTTTTTCCAGTTCACCAATATGAACAGACTCGGGAAATGTAGAATAATTAGTTATTGTATTCGAAATGCCAGAACACCATTATTATTTAAGGAACAACTGCTTTCGAAGCCACAAGCAAAAAGACTACGCAAATCCATGTGCTTTTCGTCGATTCCGTGGTGTCTCATTGATCACAGGGGCTATTTCATCTTATGTTTACTATATTATTATGCAAAGCTTTCTATTGGCCGGTATGACGCCGTAGTTTGTTCATTTACAAGAGCCAAACACGAGCAACGGTTAAACACAAAAGCACTCACGATCATGACCTGGCACTGTAGACTTTTCAATCTTTTTGAAGTGCGGCAATACGTCATTGTAAGACCAGTTGTGTGCTCCATAAAAACGTTCCCAAATGTCGTAGTCAAGGTCGTTTCCACGAACAAACAGCATGAAGTTCATGGCGCTCGATCCTCCCATCCCTTTACCGCGGGCCCATGGGCAACTCTGTAAAGACGGAAAAATCGTTTCTAGCGCTTCTCGTATTAAAGGTATCAAAAAACAGCTTGAGAAATATTTTAATCTGGAGAATTGGTGAGGCTGTCTTCATCCATAAACATGGTCACTACACAGGCAAGAAATAAAGGTGACGCCGCACGCAATCAACTTTTGCAACTGAATTTGCAGAGGGCATATCAATGTTTGTTTGAGGAAAATTTTAGGAACTAAAAAAATTGAATTATGTGTAGATGTTTACTCTATAGCAATAATTCACTTTGATTCACTTCGTTTCTCCCAGCTTCGCAATGTGGCGACAGCCAGTGACGTGTGACACGTTTGTACGGCTTAGCATTTAGCCTTGTCTGTACCGTGACGTCTTCCGTTGTAGTGCTGCCCACGACCTTTTGTCATTGACAGGCATAAACCAACTACTCATAATGCTGAAGCCTTAAGCGAATCGATTTGACGTGAAAGCCGTTTTACGAAGTACGTGTTGACGCTCTCCCTTTTTTGCGTCGGTTGCGGCATATAGGGGTGCATCACACTAGAACCTAATTATGCCATTTATAGAGCAAAACATGGATTCCTGTTCATCTGATCTCACCGAATTTCTTCTATTCAAAATTAACCAGCACCAGGCAGCCCCCTGGTAGCTTCTCGCTCAGCGAGGCTGCTTTGTTTCTAACCTTGATAAAGAACTCCTATGCTCCTGCTCAACTGAACAAGCTTTGATTGATTGATTTGTGAGTTTAACGTCCCAAAACCGCGATATGAATATGAGAGACGCCGTAGTAGAGGGCTCAGGAAATTTCGACTCCTGGAGTTTTTTTAACGTGCAGCCAAATCTGAGCACACGGGCCTACAACATTTGCGCCTGCTTTAGAAAGGCAGCCGCCGACGCAGGGATCCGAGCCCGCGACCTGCGGGTCAGCAGCCGAGTCCTCAGCCACTAGACCATGGTGGCGGGGCTTAAACAAGCTTTTGAATGCTTATAATTCGCAAATAAACAGGACAACCGAGCCTCTGAATCGAACCCCTCTCGACATGTTGCCTTATGTCTGCTGCAACCAGTTTGTAACATTTGCTTGTAACTAATATCGAACCTACATGACTATAGGTTTCATCCGTATTTTTTTTCTTTTTTCTGCCATAACCTCTTTTCAACACCATCCAGCCAACGAGATTTAGTTACACGTTGGAGTATTATCGGCATGTGATACTGAATCCCGAGTAGGTGGGTAAAGTTCGTCGACGAATTCGAGTCAACTCGCGGGTCTATCACGAGCATACTTATTACGATCGCGATCATGGCATCTACAACGCACCCGGTAGCCTTGTTCTTGTTCTGCCTTTGGAGAGGCCCTTACAGCATGCCATCCCAAATAATCAACCACAGCAACGAAAGTTCCCCGAATAACCCCAGCGTGTACACCCACCTATGGACGTTGTGATGTTACGCGCCTGAAAAAAGATCGTACATCTTCACCTTGATAACCACAGGGTTGATGCATCAGCCACCGAGAAATGATGCGACGGGCTAAAAAGGTTGATACAAAAAGCGAAAAAGGTGATGTGTTTTACCTTCGCGTGTATTATGCCACTTAGTCAGCCACTGCGCATAGTGTAAATATATTCTCCCCATAACAAGATATTTGTTTGAGACAATATTGCGATTCAAATGTATTTTGGGCTTTGTGGAGTTTCTAACGTCCACCTGTGTAGGTTTACGGGTGTATTTTTGCACTTTCTGTTCAGAAAAATGCGGCCGCTTCGGACGCAAGTATAAATCATGTTCGCTAGCCTTGCCGCGTATTCCTTGAACCACTAAGCCCTAATGGCGGTCGTAACATTGTATTTAAGAAGAACAAAATGGTTGTCTTTAAAAGTGTACTGATTATCGAAAGGCCTTCGACTTATACACGTTGGGTAACCAATCGAGAGCTCTTCTGTTTTCCGTCGGCCTCGACTGACACGCAGCATCAGCGTCAGAGATGTTTACTTGGTTGCCGTATTTTTGTGTGCGCGCGCGCGTGACTACGCCTCAGCCAATAAATGGTTACGCATCTATCAATCGACCCGACCCGTGCATGGAGTTACCGGTGGCCATTAAATAGCGTCAATTTGTTTTAAATATATTGTGTTCACGATATGAACTGGGAACACCTTTTGCTAAGTGCACCAACCAGCTCGAGTGATTGCAATACAGTGTATTTTTAACGAAAGCATAGATAAAGGAGACGTCTGATATGTGGACCTATTAAGGACCTTGTGATAGGTCGACAATTGTTTTACCACTTACCTGGTTCACCATTGAGAGGCAGGCGTTCTGCTGACTTTCAGTGGGATATTGCCAGTCGATTTCACTGTTGATAAGCAGCGGTGCGTACAATGGAACTTGGGTACCGATCTTCACTAGCGGAAACTCTGTAAAAGGCACAAAGTCTTTCTCCAAGCCTCCAGCCTCGATCAGGAGCACCGTTCTGCTTGAGTCAGCCGACAGGCGGTTGGCCAGTACGCAACCCGCCGAGCCTCCACCTACTGCAAGACGTCGAGTGTGTTAGTACATAAAAGGAAATAAGAGTTGAACCCAACAGCATTCATTGCTGCATCAGAAAATACATCCCGTCTCAAGAAAAGAAAGCACCACGAAGCTCCGCCACACGTACCGATATTAGCTCTATGGTATTCGAGTCCCGTCGCGGTGATCTCGTAGTTATGGCACTGCACTGCCGACTCTCAATTCGCGGGATCTATTCCCGGCCAACATGGCCACATTTTGTGTGAAGGCGGAAGTGTTGAAGGCCCGTGTATGCCGATTAGGTGCACTTCAACAAACTCTCCAGCTTATCAAACCTACCAGAGCTATGCATTGTGACATCTACTATAATCACTGATTTCAGGCTTTAAACCGCAACAAGTATTATCATCAGGTCATTCGAGTCGATAGATGCGCGTCTGGTAAACTTCAGAATGGTCGCAACAGAATGACGTTTCGAGAGGCCATAACGTGATCTTTGTGTTTCAATTTTAGCAAGGTTACATTAAATATTTGTGTGATCGTTTTTTTTCATTTTCTTCCTTCTTATTTGTGCAGCACAATCACTTTTTAGGGACATGTTTTCTAAATGTGTGCCTAAGTGCAACTGCAACTTCTTTTTAACGCGTCATTGTGAGAATCATATGTTTTTCGTTTTCGCTATGGCCGTGAAGACAATGAAGTATTCAATGCGTGGGACAGCTATTATTGATTTGTTGATTATTATGCGAGGTTTAACTTCCCAAGGCTACCATATGATTATGAGAGACACCGTATGTAGTGGAGGGCTTCGGAAACTTTGACCACCTGGGGTTCTTTACCATGCACCGAAGTCTGAGCACACGGGCATACAACATTTCCGCCTCCATCGGAAATGCAGCTGCCGCAGCCAGAATTCGATCCCGCGACCTGCGGGTCAGCAGCCGAGTATCTTAGCCACTAGACCACCACGGCGGGGCTGGGCAGCAGTCAACACGGACGTTAATGTGATTTAGTAGGCACTAGACTAGACGAGGTTTCGTACAGGTAATCCACAACAAGGATAAAAATGGAACAATTTGTTGCTTCTCAAAGTCAACTCATCACCAGACTTCAGAGCTATTGAGTGAATAGGTAGAAGTTGGATATAAAAAAGATTACACTATTCTGGCTTTATGGAACTGAGGAACAGGTATTTCATGTTGGCAAGGTAAACAAGCAAAGATCAGGTTCAATGCATGAGTTAAGCTTTGAATACGCTAGCAACAATGTGTGGTGGCAGGCATGGGCTACGCCAGCTTGATGACGCCAGATGATGAAGTGCATAACTTCAATGAAATGATAAAAAATGCGTCCTGGCACGCAGATAAAGTGCGTTATACTAAAATATTCACCATACAAGTTTGTGTAGGTGAACACTTTTTGCATGGAACGTGTAAGAAAAGCACGATCGAATGTTCACAAGTTCATTAATGTGAAATATTCAGTGAACCGACAATCGTACAAGCGAGAGTTCACAATATGGTTTTTGTGTAACTGCTTGAATAGACATTGATACCACAGCGGCATCCTTTATTCGGACAAATTCGTATTTCATGTGGTGTTTTTGGAGAAATGCTTTAACCTTTGGGAGGTTCTGCCAATAACATCTAATTGATTTTAACATAGTGCCCCAACAGTATTTCTTGGCACTGCAGCATTGCACCCATCATGTAACCTTCAGCACTGACTTCATTAAATAGTGTCGACCTTATGTACAATGTGCAACAGGAGAACTTCCTGCCAATGGTGGAACTGTTTCTGCTCTAGTTGACGCCGCCCGCGGAAAATGCGCTTAGCAGTTCTGGCGAACTGACAGCACCTCCATGCTCGATGATGTCAGTTGCCACATTTGCTACAGTCTCTGCTGCGTTCTCCGCCAATAAACCTTTCCTGGTTCAGTGTGCTAAGAAAGCCACATTAGTGTGGCGCCTGCGCGTCGCTGAGTGACTACATCTGAAGGTGTAAACAATCTGGTGTAACTCTCTCCAGACGACGCGTATCTCAACCGCCGTTTCAAGCATGAAACCGAGATAGTGCAGTGAAATGTACCGCATATGTTGGAGACCGATTTTATGAATCTGCCTATGAATATTGATTGGATTTACTAAAAGCAATAAACTAAAATTGAAATATGACAACATTTGTTAATAAATTCTCTAGCAAAGAGCTAGCGCCGCGAGCAGCACAAGACCAGCTGAAGTTAAGAAGGCGCAGCAATAAAAAAATAAAAAACCATTGATTTTGATGGCATATACAATGCAAAGAAGAAAAATAAATTTTCTAGCTTCCTATCTAGGTCTACGTCCTTCATTGAAGGTTTGGTACACCTAAGGGTAGCCGAAACCTACGCAGCTGTTCACTTTGTTGATGCTTCTGCTGCTGAGGATTATTAAATAAGTATAAGTGCTTTGTGATAGGTTGGCACTCGTTACTCAATTCAAGTTTTTTGACACCTAGCGCAAGGCTACGCTTCAGCGATGCAATGTATAATGCGTTAGGGAAACTCTTTCGACTCTACAACAGTCATGTAGAGCTTTCAAAGACGATAGTCCTTCTTGGAGACCTTCGACAAAAAATTTTCGTTTGTCTGTCTGTCTGTGTCTTTCTGTCTGCGTCTTTCTGTCTGCGTCTTTCTGTCTGCGTCTTTCTGTTGTGCGTCTTTCTGTTGTGCGTCTTTCTGTTGTGCGTCTTTCTGTTGTGTGTCTTTCTGTTGTGCGTCTTTCTGTTGTGCGTCTTTCTGTTGTGTGTCTTTCTGTTGTGTGTCTTTCTGTTGTGTGTCTTTCTGTTGTGTGTCTTTCTGTTGTGTGTCTTTCTGTTGTGTGTCTGTCTGTGTGTCTGTGTGTGTGTCTGTGTGTCTGTCTGTGTGTCTGTGTGTCTGTCTGTGTGTCTGCGTGTCTGTCTGTGTGTGTGTCTGCGTGTCTGTCTGTGTCTGTCTGTCTGTGTTTGTCTGTCTGTGTCTGTCTGTCTGTGTTTGTCTGTCTGTGTCTGTCTGTCTGTCTGTGTGTCTGTGTGTCTGTGTGTGTGTCTGTGTGTCTGTGTGTCTGTGTGTCTGTGTTTGTCTGTCTGTGTTTGTCTGTCTGTGTTTGTCTGTCTGTGTCTGTCTGAATCTGTCTGTCTGAATCTGTCTGTCTGAATCTGTCTGTCTGAATCTGTCTGTCTGAATCTGTCTGTCTGAATCTGTCTGTCTGAATCTGTCTGTCTGAATCTGTCTGTCTGAATCTGTCTGTCTGAATCTGTCTGTCTGAATCTGTCTGTCTGAATCTGTCTGTCTGAATCTGTCTGTCTGAATCTGTCTGTCTGAATCTGTCTGTCTGAATCTGTCTGTCTGAATCTGTCTGTCTGAATCTGTCTGTCTGAATCTGTCGGTCTGAATCTGTCGGTCTGAATCTGTCTGTCTGTGTCTGTGTCGGTATCTGTCTGTCTGTATCTGTCTGTCTGTACATTTATCTGTACCTTTGTCTGTTTGTCAGGTCTTAACGATACTCCGAACGGCACCTAACAATACCCGAAACGGCCGACCCCATCCGCAGCGCCCACCAATATTGCTCGAGATGCAGCGCTCATACTCGTGCAATTCTCAATTAAAAAGCAATTATTACGCATGTCTTAGGCACCATAACAGCACGTCAATATCCTGTACGTGTTTTACTAGAACAGGCATACACAAGCAATTCTAAGGATCGTACCGTTTATCACGCTGTGCTGACAAATGCAATGCTTGCACGTAAAGGCAAGTGCTTCCATCGCTTTGCTAAGATGACCTGGTGGTGGCACGTACCTGTCGCCTTGCTTTTTACACCTTATCGCCTTCAAGACGGGAGCGCACTCCGCGTGATTCGATTTTCAAGATAACTGGTAGATAACGCCCGATTCTCACTTGCAACGTGACTTGATACGCTCGTTCGCCTCCGCGTCACGCTCGAGGCACTAACGCAGCGCCTCCAGAATACCATTCACCGATTTTTTTTTGCGACAGATAAAATGAACGATTTCTTCACTCTCTCCAGACGCAAGACTATTGTATTTGGAGGACATTTGCAGTGTAACATGCTGATACGGGGCCATTTTTTTTCTAAAATATTTTCATCAATTACTGTATATCTGGGTTGGAATGGCTGTTTGCCTGGCAGACGGTGTGGGTTGAATGCTCACTTTGAGCCGAAAATTTTTATTATTCAGTTTTCATCTTTCTCAATCTCTTGGGCATGCAGATGATTTTTCGCTCGCAGTCCACGCTGCCCACACTGATGCCAGAATTTCTGTGAAATGAGCTCTTTAACACCATCATTTTAAAATAAGCTATCTTTATGACTAGATCTTCTTCACTGAAAATCTCATTAGGCTCAACACCTCTTCGCTTCCGGTGACCTCTTTAGTACTGCCTCATCACAGAATTCATTCGGAAACAACTCTGCAAAAAGTGAGCAAATGCTTTTCGAAGCTCTGGTTTGTAAAATAAGATATGCAACCGTTTTAAATAGCGTGAAGCTAACGTGCAATACCATCGCCCTCTTCCCTCTTCCCCGCCCAGGCCATTGGCTGTAGTAAACATGATCGGGTTACAGATCGAATTGAGAATCATATGTTTACCGCAAAACGATACATGTAATCAACTACTTCACGTTCAGCGAATAAACGCGCGGCTGCGAGCGCGAAATGAATGCGCATGTGCAACACAAGGTCTCCCCATAACTGACGCCCAAATGACAAATGGCGGGCTGATGCCATTTCACCTAATTTTGGCCGCATACCACATGCCCACAGTTATTTTACAAGCCACTAAGAGTGAATACAGAGGATTGGTAGTGATTTGTTTCTGAAACACCGAAGAGCAAGCGAAAAATAGGAATGAAGGAGGCAAATGTCGCTTCTATGTGAGACCGATCTCTCATTTTCGACTACTCTCCTGCGCTAACCACCACACAGCGGACACTTGCATACAGCCCGATATTTTTTAGTACCCATGATATCTACCCTTCATGCTCGCAGACGAGGTAAGTGACATCCCGTAGCCGAACAGACAAGGTAGCTTTTGCAAACTCCCGCACGCACACACACACACCAATTAGGTTACAAAGACGGAGACGTGTGCTTGCCTACTACTGCAGGTAAAAGCAGCGTTGCAAAGTTTAGGACAGAAAAACATTTGACTACACATAAAAAGCGCTTCTAACCGCTCAATCAAGTGAAAAAAAAGAGACCTAAAGTGGGAGGGGCTGACATAAAACGAAAAGGGCACTAAAGGCGAGCCAAACATTATCTTAGCGGGGTGCTTTCTGTGCAGTCCACTTTTTCCTGTCCTCAACTTTGTAGCGCTGCTTTCACCTACGGTACGTTCCAACTAGCCAACACAATTTTAACATATGGTGTAGTCACGCAAATTAGCCGGGGACACAGAGGACAAGAAAACACGACACTCACTACTCTTTTTCTTGTTCTCTGTGTGCCCGTCGAATTGGTGCTACTACACCATATGTTAAAATGATATCTTACCAACTATACCAGCTCTCAAACCTAGTGAACTTCATTTCTATTACAACGGGCCCTTTTATATTTTCTAACAACTTCAATCAGAATGAACCGAGCTGCCTTGCCGCAGTCCTAGGAGTGTGTGTTTGCAAGGCAAAGGTGGCATCCTGGAATGCCAGATACAACGTAGTGAGTGTCGTGTTTTCTTGTCCTCCATGTTCCCGTGGAATTCGCGCTACTACACCGCATGTTAAATGATATTTTACCAACTATCCCACTTCTCAATCCTACTTAGCCAGCACAAGCGTTTCTGTGTGTACTACGCCTCAGATTAAAGGGCGGTGCGCAGCCATGCACCACCCCGCCGAAGGATGATACTATCGGTCCGCTCACAGTGGAGAAGTTGTGAAAGCTTTACGCTCTGTGTTTTAACTCTTTCAGCCCTGCATTTTTTTTTGGTCGGATACAATTCTTGTGCGGGTTCTCCTTGTAGTTGGGGCCTCAAAATACCATAAACAAAAAATTGGGCCAGTGGCACAAGCACTTTTGGATTAAATAACGTGGCGTCAAATGTCATCGGGGCACAGTGATTAAAAAATGCGAAAAATGGCTTATTTTTTCTGCTATTCATTTGTGTACACAAAATGGGAACCAGAGTTTTACGTGTCAGCCGAATACTAATAGAAACAGCGTCGTTACAACGCGCCGAAAGCCGTGCTTGCCCTCCTAAACTTACGCGCCTTGACTTCACCGAAGGCTGCGCTTACGCTTCTTTGTGGCTGCTACCTACACAATCGTGCCGCAATATTAATGTCAATTACAGTTGGGATCATTGAAGAACTATTCCCTCAAGAATGAGCAGTATTAGTTTTGTTTCCGAGATGCTCGGGGAAATGTGCGGTGGTTTCCATTGACAGTGCCAGGGCCGAAAAGGTTGCCTCAGCTTTAGTTTTGCCGATAGCGGTGACACGACTGCTTGTGCGAATCGGCACTGCTTAATCGGAAATGTTTGCTCGAGAGTGCAGACATTTCTGGTGTAATGACTTATTTTAGCCTAATATCACTGTTTAGAACGAGGAGTGCAAGGCAGCACGAAATAAAATCCGCGCGGATGATGTCGGAGGGGGGGGGGAGCGAGCTGGGGGGCGTGTCGATTACTTGTAAGCCTGCTTATGCACGGTACGGGTGTGTTTCTCAGAACGCAGAGGACGTTAGTAGAATTTCAGGAACGGCTCTCCGCGTTACTGCTGCAGCGCTTTGAAACACAGGAGCTAATTAAGTGTTAGGTGAAACGAATGTCATAATTAATTAGCTAAGGAAAGGCAGCTCAAGAAAAAAAAGAGCGAGGACGCAAGAACGTAGCGCACAAGACTAGAGCGTAGCGCACAAGGGGGCTCAACTCAGAACTGATCAGATGCAACTTCAGCAATAGTCTTGTTCACTGTGTGCCTGCGCCCTCGTTCTTTCTTTTTGTGTGTGTGCTGCCTTTTCCCAGCTAAGCATGTACCAAATCGCCCAACTCATAATTTTTATCCCGCAATGAATTCTTCGTCGAAGCCAAAGAACAACACAACCTCACTTACCGATCAGGTAGTCGTAATGCGTATAAAGAATGCGCTTGTCCCCTTCCGCCTGTGTTGATTTCATGGGGAAGAATACTGGTGCTACAAGACCAGAGAATGCTGCGAACAAGTAATACTGAAAAAGAAAGTAAATCATAGCTTCCAAATGCTCTGCTGCGAGACAGCAAGTGAACAGCAGCTTGCAAACGGGATAACTGCTTGTGAGTGCACCGCCGAATTTGGTCACGTGGCCGGTGATTGTCACGGACGACTGACCTGGCCTTCCGCTATCAATCTTGCTGTTTGGCATGCGCATTTCTGTGCTAACGCATCAGAGACACCTCAGGGCACTTACTCTGATCACAGCCGGAAAGATGTTTCCACATGAGTACGTTACCTTGCATTGCGTATAAACTCAACAAAAGGAATGGTGTACAATTTGTATCCTTTTTTTTGAGCAAGTCCACTTTAACTGAAACATAGGAAATTGTGGTTTTCTGCTACTGACAATAAAGTAAAGCCTGCCGTAATAATTTTTGTCAGTGTGGTAATGTAAACAAAATAGCTCAAATGAAAAGTTTGCCTAAATTATATGATGTGGTATATCAATATAAAATATGTATAACCCGGTATATCCATTTAACCCAGTACACAGCTGAGGACTTATCTTTGTGTGCGAGAGTAGAAGCCAAGAGTCATCGGAGTCTAGGAATTCAAGCTGACGATTTGTGGTGAGTGATGCGAAGACGACACTGCTTTGTACGAACAGTTTTTCCTTCTGCCACTTTCAAGAACTAGAAATATTTCACTCCTTACCTTCCCTCCTTTATTCTACGTTATTAGGCTAACCGTTGACGTAATTACTAATACGTATAGCTGGCTCCCGTGTGAGGGCCACTGTCTTCTTCTATGTCGATTTACCAGAGTGTTCTTCTTTTAAAACTTACTATCCCAAAACGTCAGCAAAAGAGGATACAGTCTTAAAAGCAGCGCTTGTCTGATCTTTAGCAGCTAGAAAATTTTCGAGCTTAGTTTCCATGCACTCCAACCACCCACGACGTATACGCTCAACGTAACAATCGCATAAAAGTAGCCGATTAGTTGAAAAACAGTTGCGCGCAACTCGTCCGTTTACAGGAAATGTCAATGTAGGGATGCGACTACTGGGAATCAGTAAAATGCCGACTTTGCGGACACTTTGAAACCAACAATGTCAATATCAAGCGTGACAAGAAGAAGTTAGGAGAGAACAAACGCGTGAGAAGGAGATTAATTTAAGGCATTACTCCGGCATAAGCTCACAAGATCAGAAACCACACAGGGCGTTTTTGTTTTAATAGGGAAATCAGATTTTCAGACATTTAGGGAAAAGGTGAGGCGATGTACAAGCCAGGTGAAGTTGGGAGCTCATAGGTGGTCAGGTGGTTTTCTACGTTGCTAGTAATGTGCAACAGACCATCTACTTAGGCGCAGCAGCCAAGCATGCCATGACAAAATTTGGTTCGAATAGAAATGTCGAACCACTCCTAATTGCATATCTAGTTAAAATGCGTGAGGAAGGAATCGTTAAAGATTATGAAAAAAAGAGGTCTCGGGTGTGGCCTCACCGGTGACCACCGCCGGTAATGCACTCCCTCACCAGAGAATGATTGGCCTCCCGGGTGCAGTATCTGGCCATTACCTCCGACATGCATTCGTCAATTAACTCACGGCAATCAATCCCCAGTGGCTGCGAAGCAACTGTACAAGGCGGCGGTGAGACGTGCGACGCCGCAGAGCGTGCTTAGAATCCCTGGGTATGGACAGGCCACCTTTGCAACCTTGGCTACCTTCAACACTAGAACGCTGTTTAGTGAGGCTAGTGTAGCTCTGCTATTCGAGGAATTAGAGGGTGTTAAATGGGATGTAATAGGGCTCAGCGAAGTTAGGAGGACACGTGAGGCCTTCTACAGTGCTGAAAAATGGACACGTCCTTTACTACCATGGATTAGTTGACCGAAAAGAACAAGGAGTGGTGTATCTCATACACAAGAATATCGCTGGTAACATAGAAGAATACTATAGCATCAGTGAGAGGGTGACAAATATCATAATTAAGTTTAAAAAAGGTACAAAATGAAGGTGGTACAGGCCTACGCGCCTACATCGAGCCATGATGATCATTTGGTTGGACGCTTTTATGAAGAGGTAGAGTCAGCCAATAATAAAGTAAAGGCATGTATACTATTCTAATGGGTCACTTTAATGCCAAAGTAGGCAAGAAACACGCCGGCGATCATGCAGTGAGGAAATATGGCATCAGCTCTAGAATTGCCAGAGGGGAGTTAGTAGAGTTCGCAGAACGTATTACTTTATGGATTTTAAATACCTTCTTAAGAAAACAGGCTAATCGTAAATGGACGTGGCGAAGTCCTAATGGCATAACTAAAAACGAAATTGACTTCACTCTCTGTGCACACTCAGGTATTGTACGGGATGTAAAAGTAGTTGGAAAGATTAGATGCAGTGACGAAAGAACGGTAAGAACTCGTATTCACCTAGATTTAAAAAAAACTGACAAAAACTGATACGCAAGAAGTCAATTAATGAACAGGTGGTGAGAGAAAAAATATACGAATTCAGGGTTTTGCTTGAGAATTGATTCAAGGCACTAAAAAAGATAACCGACGTTAGCGTTGACACAATTATTGATTGATATTTGGGGTTTAACGTCCCAAAACAACCATATGATAAATAGAGACGCCGTAGTGGAAGGCGCCGGAAATGTCGACCACCTGCGTTTCTTTAACGTGCACCCAAATCTGAGTACACGGGCCTTACCACCTTCATCTGAAATGCAGCCGTTGCAGCTGGGATTCAATCCCACGACCTGCGGGTCAGCAGCCCAGTACATCAGCCACTAGACCACCGTGGTGGGGCAATGTAATGAACGCTAATCTTACTAGTAGGATCAAAGAGTGTGCAATTGAATTTGGAGGTTTAGTCACTAGACGGCAAACTGGAAAACTATCTCAGAAGACGAAAAATTATAATTATGAGGCGACAAACGGTGAAAGCCTGAAATGCAACCGGCTAAATACAGCTCGTTGATCTTTCTAGTTCAATCAATAGGCGTAAAGTAATCGACATCAGGAGGTAAACTATGTAAAGAATTGAACAGGCTGTAAAACAGGCAGAAGCCTAAAAGCTGTGAAAGCCGACTTGTGCATATGCAAAAATCAGATGTATGCATTGCGAAATAAGGAAGGCAATGTAATAACCAATATGGATAGGATAATCGAGATGGTGGAGGGGTTTTACAGAGAGCTGTACACAAGTCGAGAGAAACGGGATGGTATTGTGAGAAACCATATTATTCCCAGAGAATTCGACATCCTGGCAGTAACGATGGGGAAAGTAAGGAAAGCCTTAGAAGGAATGCAAAGCAACAAAGCTGCTGGTGAGAATATGGTAACAAAGGACCTCCTGAAAGATGGCGGAGAAAATGTGTTGGAAAAAGCTCCCAAGCTCTTTCCCGAGGGTGAACATGGTTAAGGGGGAGTAAAGTTAAAATCCGTTGGGATTCGCCAGTGAGTTATCGTAAACTTCCCCGTGTGATCACACTGCGGTTTCCAGGAACCATTAGACCCTGTCGGGAAATCTTGGTGAGATTACGCGTATATGCGAGGGTAAATTCGCACTACAATGATATTTATGCCCGCAGCTCACTTCAACCGCTTGCGCTCGGCATCACGCGCCCTTCGCCGCGCTGCTTTGTCTTCAACAGCCGCGACATCTACAATGACGTGTGCAATGCTCGCATTCGATTGCGTTGTACTCATTGTTGGAGGTATTGCAAACGAGGTTGATGCCTGCGATGAATCCATACCTATGACGACTTGCCAATCTCGAGCAAGTCGTGGCTGCGCGGGCGCACGCAGCCACGGAGCGGAGGGCGGAGTGCGCGCAATCACGGTGTGTGTGACGTCATAAAGGTTGCTTACCAGCGCAAACGATAGGGCAGGAGGGGACAGGAGAAGAGACGAGACAGCCTGCCCTGTCGTTTGCGCTGGTAAGCACCCTTCATGATGTTATACCAGCACGCCCAATCCCACTGTCTCTTGTGTGACGTCGCTGTGCCGTTGCTACAGACGCTCCTCTCCGCTCCTCGCGCCGTTGCTAGGGGAGAGGAGGAGGCGCACAGTGAACGGTGGATTCAGGGTCGCTTATAAAGTGCCTTCGCACTTAAAATTAGCCCATTTTACATACAAAGTGTCTCCTTAAGGGAAGGGTACCAGAATCTTGGAAAAACGCCAAGATCATCTTAATCAATACAAAAAGAGACGTCAAGGACTTGAAAAATTACAGGCAGATCAGTTTGCTCTTCGTTATCTTCAAACTACTCGCAATAATAATATTTATTAGGATTAGGACGATATTAGAGTTGAATCAGCTAAAGAACCAAGCAGAATTACGTACCAGCTACTCCACAGTAGACCATATTTATACTATTGATAAATCAGGTAATAGAGAAATGCGCTGAATACAACCAACCCCTGTACATAGCTTTCATGCATTACGAGAAGGCGTTTGACTTAGTTGAGACATTAGCAGTAATGCAGGCACAACGGAAACAGGGCATCAATGATCGCTACATAAACATAGTGGAAGAAATCTACAGAGGATCAACAGCCACCATAGTTCTCCATAAAGAAAGCGAAAGAACCCCATTAATGAAGCGTGTAAGGCATCGATACACGATCTCTCCAATGCTATTTACCGCATCTTTACAGGAGGTATTCGGGACCCTGGACTGGGAAGAGTTAGGGATAAAAGTTACTGGAGAATACCTTTGTAACCTGCGCTTCGCCGATGGCATTGCGTAGGTGACTAGCTCGGAGGACGAATTACAGTTCATGATTACTGAACTGGACAAGGAAAAAAGAAAAGCAGGTCTGAAAATGAATATGCAAAAAACTAAAGTAATGTTCAACAATCTTGGCCGAAAACAACAATTCGTTGTGCGTGGACACACGCTGAAAGTTGTGAAGGAATATGTCTACTTCAACAGATAATAACTGTGGAGCCGAACCACGAGATTTAAGTAACTAGAAAATAAGAATGGGGTAGAGCACGTTTGGCAAGCACTTTCAAATCACGACAAGTAGATTGCCACTATCCCTCAGGAGGAAGGTATATAACAGCTGCATCTTACCGGTACTTACCTACGGAGAAGAAGCCTGGAGGCTTACAAAGAGG